TTTGCTGGCTTCGGGCGAACTCAGCAGAGCCATTTTTGAAAATAATATATTTTTCACAGAATTGATATATCGGTGTTGGTAGGCTAATTTTAGGCTAATTAATCACCTTATTTTTGAATCTTCTGCTCAACGTTTCGAACAAAGAAAACATGAAATGATTCGTCGATATATGCGTTATTCACATTATATCATGCATTTTTATCAAAAGCATATCCAATGACGATTTTATAAGGCAAAGTGTTAGTATTGATGTAAGCTCAATAACTATTTGCTGTAGCTTTGGTGAACTCAGCAGAAACATTTTCGAAAGAATAGTTATTTGTTTAACTAGGCAGCAAAGTAGTGATTGACTGCCGAGTTGAACATATAATTTTTTCTACGATTGTTCATAATGATATATATCTCTTTATTTTTCCTGTAGTGTTCAATTGAAATAAAATTTGAAAGAAATCGCAGTTGTTGGAATGGTTGGTTGCTATGGAAATGTCCATAATAATTATAGTTTGACAATTCATGAACTTTCTGACAGTTGTGCGAAAAAATATCGGGTTATTTGAATTATTATATAATGGACAGTGATAGCGACCTGGAAGTACTCACACCTCTAGAAATGAGGGAGGTGGCAAGAAATATAGAGTTGAATTTGTCGTTAATCTATGCTCGGATGAAATATGAAGGAAATTATAATCGATTCATGGATTATTAATTTTGCTGATAACATATCAATCAGCAAAGTGACCACTTTGCTGCCTAGGCAGCAAAGTACCCACTTTGCTGCCTAGGCAGGAAAAGTAATACTTTGCTGATTGATATGTGTCAGCAAAATTAATATTTGCTGCCAATCGGAGAAAAATATGTTTTCTGCTGATTCGGTACATTGTGATTCACCCGAAGCTAGCAAAGCCACAGGTTTCTTTTGAAAAATATGCAGCAAAAAACATTATGGGATAGTTATTAAGCTTACAATAAATACTCTGGAATTCAACAACTTCGAACAACGCATAGACACATTATATACATCAAAAACACCTAAGAAGTCTTGCAAAAATTGATTCAGGTCCCTAACGATACAGTGAAGTAATTGAATGCCAATTGAGCTCTTTTCTACCTTGAACGGGGGAGAGTTATCTCCTCTAACATCTTTCTCCTCATTGCTACCAACCTGACCGCATTGAAATATAGAGCGGTTCGATGAATCTTCCCTTGTCTAACCTCTAGCAAAGATGATACACACACTAGATAGTCAACGCCTGTGTAAAAACCGCTCTGTTCGTTCCCAACTTAGCGTTGCCCATTCTTACATTCACGGTGCTTATCTAGTGTGTGTATGATCTTTGCGTCTAGTCTGCACCACTGAACTATTTTCGATGTATGATCTAAGATCTGAGGAACAACTTGAACTCTGAACTGTTTGTTTTGATGATGTGACCAATAAGCACAAAAAAAATGTGAACCAATGAAAACAAAGTAAACATACCGCTTTGATAGCTTTCAAGAACTCGATAGGTGGCGTACGCTTATTTTCTATCGCGAATAATGATATTGTTTCCTTCTGAACTGACAATTCTTTCGAAGGCACACATAACCGATTCAGTTCTAGTGAGATATTTCGGCTAGTTCAGATTATAATGATGATAAACTATCAAATTTTTGAAATGAAATTACAGATTATATCATACTTATTTCGACATATTTTGTTGATATCGTTAACGTGACACACTGTTTTTTATTTATTTTATTTATTCCAACAAACAGGTTTTACCCCAATTACATGTTGTGTGTGTATGAATGGTTGATTGAAGTAGTACTTCACTTTCTGCATCAATCACAGTAATGATACTGTTTTTCCAAAAAATACAGTACTAGTCCAAACAACCTGACTAAAATCTAACTTAAATCTAATAATATATACAAAGTATTAACCAAATAAGAATAATTATTGAATTAGTACAGTTTCACTATTTTGTGATAATTTATTTTTTTATTTGATTTCCGAATGTAATCACACTATCTCGAAATATGTCACAGTACGTTTGATTTTCGTTATAGAATATAGCCATATTTACATGTGGAGATTTCAGTTGGTAATTCGTCCGAGATGTAGTCACTGCAAATGTTTTGTTATTACTTGCCCGAGTTCTTGAGTTTGGTATTTGTAACTTTACAGATGGAAGAGTAGTACAGTCTTGCGCCATATTGTTGTATATTTTGTATAGATACATCAGGGTGAAGTACACTCTTCTATTGAATAAGGACATTAAATTATATTTATTGAGATTTGAGGGATAATTTGATATATGGACACTTTGTATAATAAAATCTGCTTGTCTTATGAACTTTTTCTGGACTGTTTCAAGCATTTGTATATACTTCGTATATAAAGGAGACCAAACTATACTGCAATAGTCTAATTTTGCCCGTACAAAACTGTTGTAAAGAACTTTAAGCGTTTTTTCTGACTTGAATTTTCTGGAATTCCGAATAACAAAGCCAAGATTCCTATAGGATGTTCGTGTTATATTTGTTATATGGTCACTGAAAGATAATTTTTGGTCAAAAATGATGCCCAAGTCTTTCACAGAATGTTCTGAAACTAAATCAATTGTGTTCATCTTATAGTTGAATTCAGTGGTTTGTTTTTTGTAGCTAAATGTAATTCTTTTACATTTTTGGACATTGAAAGGTAAATGATTTGTATGCGACCATTGAAAGACATTATCTAAATCTTCTTGCAACTTCATAGCATCTTCCAAGTTATCAATTTTTGAAAATAGTTTCATATCATCTGCAAAAAGCAAGACCCTACAGTGTTTAATGCAGCTGGTGATGTCATTGATGAATATCAAAAACAACAGTGGACCTAGCGTACTCCCTTGTGGATCTCCAGAAGTTGCTATGTACTGCTGTGAATCATAATTTTGTACAGTAACATATTGCTCCCTGTTTTTCAAGTATGATGCTATGAAATTACAGAAGGTATTACTAAGAGAAAATTATTGAAGTTTATGAATCAAAATGGCATGATCTACCTTAGAAATCAGTGTAAATGGTATCAACCTGGCTACCACCTGCCAAAGAGTTTGTTGTATAATTTACAAAATCTAGTAAATTTCCTGTTGTAGATCTACCATTCCTGAACCCATATTGAAATTCTGATAGTTGATTTTTAACGTGAAAAGTTATTCTGTTACACATAATTATCTCAAAAACTAGAGCCACGTTTGATATGTTGAATTCAAAAATAGTTCAGTTGCACAAACTAGATGTTAGACAAGGGAAGATGTATCGGACCTTTCTATATTTCAATGTGGCCGCGTTGGTAGTATTGAAGAGAAATATGGAAGAGGTTAGAACTTTCCTCTCTCTCTCATTCAAGGTCGCCTATGGAGCGAGGATGGTATTGTGAAACATACACACTAAAAGATGTAATGGAAAAATTACATATAATGGTCATAAGACAATGTGATCTTTTGGAAAAATATCAAGAACAAATAAAAATCAATGATGATCTGAAAACAGAGATAGCAACAATGAAGAACCAACTACATAAAGAAGTCAATAAAAATGAACAAAAATCATCAGATAATAATGTAATTATTACAGGCATCCCAAAACAAAACCCGAATTGAATATAAACATAAAGGAAGCTGATGTTTTCAGCATAGGGAAAATGGGGAAGGAAAACCAACTGATGCTTTGAGAATAAAGGGGAAAAAGAAAAGCTGATGCAAGCAAAGAAGAAGAGAAAAATCACCACATCCAGCCTTGAAACAGAGACAAGAATAACATTATATATTTCAACCATGGCCTAACAAAGTACTAAATAACCAATACTTATACAATGTTAGCAAGAAAATATAAACAGGAAAATAAATTCATGTTTGAATTTTGTGCTGTAGGCGAAATATTTTTGAAGAATTGTCTATCAGCGTCAAATAGCCTCGAAAACAGTTATGTACTAAATTAAAAATAAATAAAATCAGATTGTGAACTATTTGAATAAAGCCTTAAAAAATTAAGTTCCCCACCTTCATGAGTTTCGCCGAGAGTTTCGCGAATATCTCAACATTCGAAATACAGGCATCCTCTACTGTACATAATGTATAAGTTATGCAAGTCACAATTCAGGTAATTATTCCACTTGGAAAAGCTATGTGTGAACGGGACATATCACCTTTTTGATCATTTCGTGGAAATATGATCTTTCCCCCATTGTTCAATAAAACAATATATTTTCTTAACTCATGTGTTTATTACAATAATACCAACCCCTCTGGTTCGCTCTGTTAAGGACCGGCCCGGCACCAATCGGAGGTTTTCACAAACAAGTAGGCTGACGTCTTGCTTAACCCTTTCCACTCCAGCTGCATTTAGAAAAGCCTGTCGCACATACCAGACAAGGTTTTCTTCTGGAATCTTGTAATGCGCTTTGCCACTAATCCTCATTCATTCCATCGCATTTTTAAAATAGGAAAATCACAAACAAAATGGAGGCATAGCGTTTAAAATTCACAATATACCAGTATATCCGCATATGGATATCATTATTTATTATTTTCTACCACATGACTTATGATGTAAGAATATTATATTTATATTTTGGGTAATACAAATATCCAACAAGGGGCAATTGACCAAAAAATAATACATTCTATGTATGTATGTATGTGTTTAGATAGATATTGATCGATAGTGAGTAAAAAAACAATATCCTAGAATTGCATAGTTTAGGTGGGGAAAATATCTTTTCTCCATACCAGACGTAATGAGACATCAGATCTAGCCATTCCACCTCTAGACATACCAACAAACAAAATATACCCTAATATCCGTACATGGATATCATGACACCTGTGAGGCATATCATAAATATCCATGTTGGACACCTGGAGTGGAAGGGGTTAAGGGTAGACTACATACTATAATGCTTAAGGCTGAACCACAAAGTGATTTCACATTTAAAGTATTAATACCCATTTCTATTCCAGACCTCGTTACCAATGATGTTCGACCCGAACACCATAACGACCCAACAGTCGCAGATCCAGTACCAGCAGCAGCCCCAGCAGACCGACAAGGACAAGGGTCAGGAGCAGAAGGACACGTTCGCGCCCTTCTGCTATGCCAACGTCAACATGATACACAAGGTAATAATAATGATAGTTATTTATGTATCAAGGGCATAAAATAGGCTTCGTTGGACCATAGTGTGTAGGAGCCCGAGCGATAGCGAGGGCTGAGATGTTTAAAATTCTTCTGGTGGGCCCACTCTTCAATTGTTTCGTCAGACTAACTCTCAATATGAACAATTGATTGCGAGTTCGGAACGTGGGGTTCTCATATCCGAAGAAAAGAAACGGAAACCGTAGAAAAGTTGGCGATCTGGCTCTATTTTATAGATATTTTCATGGACGATGTTCTTCGGAAATATCAACAATTGTTCCTCCCTTGGCAGTTCCCGCGAGATTAACCCGTCGAGTTGATGCTTCGCACCCCTTCATGGTCACTTTGGAGACCTGCAGAACATTTCTTTCCAAAGACTCGTTCATCCAACGAACATCGAGGCTCTGGAACACATTGCCAAGGGAGGTGTTCCCCGAGGCATATAACCTCCAGAAATTGAAGAAGAACACCAATTCTCACGATGTTCTCTGAACATTACAGGATATCCCTTTTTGTGAGAACCAGAACATGAAAAAAATTAAATATTCATTATGTAAAATGAGCACCCGATTGCATATTATAACCTTTATCGATATATCGATATATAGAATAGCAATATATAACTTCAAAAATATCGATATATTGATAGTTATCGATATATTGATAATTATCGATATATCGATAACTATTATTATATATAGATACATCGATAATAATCGATATATCGATGTATCGATATCTATCGATATATCGATGTATCGATATCTATCGATATATCGATAACTATCGAAAAATCGATAACTATCGATATATCGATAAATATCGATTTATCGAAATATTGGTATATTGATAACCATCGATATACAGTGTGGTCATTTAAGTGTGCAACATATGGGAATCTAACTAACCAAAATACAGATAGTGCCAAAAGTTGGTGCATGTTCGGTAATCATTTTAGGTGTACTAATGGTTGCAACTCACAGCATACAGGGTAGGTCAAAAAATATAAAAATTATTCAGGAACAAAATTGTAAAACTAAAAAATGTCCTAGGAGGCCATGTTTTGGTATTTAGGCATAACTTTCAATTGTAAACAACTTTTCTCAATAACATTTTGCTGAATTTTCTGAAATAAGGGTACTTTACTCTTGAGCAATTTTTATATTTTTTGACCTGTATGCTGTGTGACTTGCAACCATTCTAAGTACACCAAAAATGATTATCGAACATGCACCAAAATGTTCTGAATATTCGAGATAGTTCTCTCGTTTTTTTGTTCACGAAATTGTGTTGCTGCACGGCATTATAACACTTGTCTGGATATCACGGATATCAATATTTCGATATTTCGATATATCGATAAATCGATAGTTCTCGATATATCCATAGTTATCCATATATCGAACTTATCCATATGTTTTGACTTATCGATAATCGATATGTGAAATCCAATATCGCTCAGCCCTAGTCAGGACCCAGTATATTTATTGTATTATTATCCCTACCAAGCAGAGGAACCTCTGTGGAATCTTGTATTCTCTCGGCTTGATAAATAATAATGTTTTTTTTCAAATTATCAGATAACGCCTAACACGAACCAGACACACAACTCGACCGTCAACATGTCGCAGCTGGCCGACGACAAGTGCTACATCACGCAGCCGTTCAGCTACAACTACACGCTGGTCAACCAAAATTTGCTCACGCAGAACGCCATCTCGAACATCACGTTCAAGTGCGACGTGTGCGGGCTGATGTTCGCTCATCTGGCGCTGCTGAACCACCACAAAAAGGTGCATCATGGGCAGGCCGATCAGAGCCAGGGGCAGCAACAGCAGATCACCGTCCAGGTAAGAATACAGTGATGAGCAATAAACAAGAGATGGATGGGCTTTGTTACGGAAAATTCCCAATATTAAAGACTGTGAGGAGTAATCTTTGATAATCACCTTCTTTTTGGTGACATTGTGATAGACTCTTCTTAGTTCAAGGAAAAAGGTTTCATAAGCAATTCAGAATGCTTTCATAGGTACTGAATTTACCCTTAACATAACAGCTTCTAAGTATTGTAGGTCTCAATGCATGAGGGAACCATGATCTTAGTCAATCAGAACATTCTCAAGGAACTGACACTTAACAATACAGGGTGTTTCACAGATAAAGGGAAATATTTCAATTGTACATAGGGGTCACCAAGGTGGTTCTGAAAATACCATATTTGATAGGTCACGCCTACTAGTTATGCAAAAATGAATACATTTCGATACCCTCCCCCGAAAAATAGCATAGACTCGTCCAGGCGGTCGACTACGCATTCCTTAACGAGAACCGCGTAGGGTTATCACCGCTGCCTTGTTTTATGTGCTAATACTGCTAATCCTTCATCTTGTTCTATAACTATAAATATTATTGTGTTAACTATTGTTTAATGTATAACATATAACAGTCTTAGAGTCTTCATAACGGAGATACAGGGTGATATATCGATTTTGAATAATTATTCATTCGTCTATAAGTATTGAACTACCCAGTATATTTTTCTAAAATTTTGTATGGAGCTTATACTTGGGACGTTGAATTCATTCACCTATCGGGCGAAGTGTATTGAAGAGTATTAAAATTATGAAACCACTTTCAATTATGATTATTTGATATATTCTTTTCAAATGATCATTCGAAAGAACTTAATAAGTCTCACAGTCTCTATAACAGATACAGGGTGAATTATCAGTTTGGAATAATTATTCACTCATCCATATGAGTATTAAACTACCCATCGCAGTAATATTTTCTCAAATTTGGTATTGAGCTTACTTGGGACGATGGATTCATTGACCTATCAGGCAGAATGGAAAAACAGGTTCAGATTCAGGAAAATACTCTTAGTCCTCATAACAGAGATACAGGGTGAATTATCGTATCCAAGTATCCAAGTAAGCTACATACCAAATTTGAGAAAATGTTACTGGGTAGTTTAATACTTATGGACGAGTGAATAATTATTAAAGACCGATAATTCACCCTGTATCTCCGTTTTAAAGACTGTGAGACTTAGCATAGTTCTTTCAAGCGATTTTTTGACTAGAATATCGAATAATCATAATTGACACTGGTTTTATAATTTCAATACTCTTCAAATTGACATACTTTCATCAACTTTCTGTTTATGATTGTTACGATGAGAAATGGTGGCGGGAAAACAAAAAGCATCAAACCCAATTCAGTTTCTCTTCCTCTTCACAATTCTTCTGATTTACTGTGTTAATAATTAAATACAGTGTGTTATCCTAATATTTCGAATGAATGTAAATTTTTCCTGAAGCCGAACCTGATAGGTGAATGAATTTAACGTCCCAAGCATAAGCTCCATACCAAATTTGAAAAAAATATACTGGGTAGGTCAATACTTATGGACGAATGAATAATTATTCGAAATCGATAAATCGCCCTGTATCTCCGTTATGAAGACTCTATGACCTATCAAATATGGTATTTTCAGAACCACCTTGGTGACCCCTATCTACCATTGAAATATTTCCCTTTACCTGTGAAACACCATGTATAAATAGATTTGAACATCTCATTGTTGAAAAAGAATTTGAATTCTCTCTAATACAATATAGCAAAAATAATATTCATTTGATTTGTATTTATTGACCACCAAGTGTAATGTATCAACTTTTTCAAGTAGATTGTATATTCTTTCGTCAAGTCTCCCAGTCAATTCACAGCTTATTTTAGATGGAGATTCAAACATAAATTATGATGACAAGATTTCTACATCTACTCAGGCACTTGAAACCTTGCTCTCATCATATAACTTGAAGATGTCAGTTCAAGAACCAACATGAATCTCACAATATTCTTCTACTACTATAGATTATATTTGCACAAACCTGGATGAAGAAAAATTTACTTGCAATGTTATTCCAGCTGGACTATCAGACCATGAAGCTATATTGCTAGAATTCCCTATTAACTGCAATAACTCAAGAAAAAACTTCAAATTTGGTAGAATATACAGCTCAAAAATTTTTGACAAATTTAAACATAAATGCGATCAAATTGCATGGGAAGAGGTTTTGTCTAAAAGCGATTCTATAGGATCCTTTCAAGAATTATTAATCAGAGTTTTTGAAGAATGTTTTCCCAAACGAAGAATTGAAATGAAAAATAAAAAATCGTGGATTACACAAGGCATAAAAATTTCTGCTAACAACTTGCAATCGTTACACACAATAGGAAAATATTTTTCTGATGAATTTTAATTAACCTATATTGACAATTATCGCAAAATTTACAGACGTGTAATCAAACATGCAAAAGAAATTCACTACAAAAATAGAATAAACAATGCCGGAAATAAAATTAAAGAAAACTGGGCCATACTGAATAGTCTGAGAGGTAAATCAAAATCACTTCCAGAACACGTCAATATAGATCCTGAACTAGAACTAGGGCATTAGTTAAGTATCTGGGAGTGCACTTAGATCAAAAACTAAACTTCAACCATCATACCCAGTTGATGAAAAAAAAAAGTGCATTACAAGAGCTCAACATTTTTGAAGCCTAACTTACAAGAATAAAGGAATTAGCAAAAGAACTGCAGCACATATTTTACAGAACCATTTGCCGCCCAACTCTTGAGTATGCTCATCCAATATACATAAACTCGAAGAAGATGGCACTGAACAATTTGGAAGTAGCAGAATGAGCTAGCCTCAGAGCCATTACAAAAATCCGGCACCCTCAAAATCCCCTTCACCATCCATCAAACGAACTTCTACATCAGCTGACCAGGGACCAACCAGATACTGAAAAAGATAACCTTGAAGTTTGCCAAAAACAAATCCAATCTCTAAATTACAAGAGAGTTTACATAGAGATCCAACAGTGAACCCTCAAGTGAACCCAGGTTGAAGGAACTCGGTTGGTGGCCTTTTGGGTATCCAATAGCTCCTTAATTATCATTATTTTTAATTACATTTGATCAATTACGTTGCAGTCTTATTTTAAAAAGTATTCATAAACGTGACAGTTTTTCACATCCTGAAAGTTTCTTTAATCAATAATTATAGAGAGAACATCGAATTTCAACACCCTATAGCTCGAAAGTTATGAGGTTTAGGACATATGGTCATAGAAACTTTTCTTCTCAAAATGAGCTATGAAATCATGTCCTATACTTTTAACCATCAATTGAATTACATCCTGTACATATACTTCAGAAATCTGGGCTATATCATTATTTCATCACTAGCAATACCAGCTGTCGAATTCGACAAGCTTGGTCAGCACATCCTTTTGTCTTCGTTTATAGAACGGCAAAGCATCGGAATTCTTCGCAAACGATGTATTCTCAAGGACTCATAATCCTCACAATTTCAGAAAAAAATCCAATACCTACTTGTGTTTCCTCTCTCTGAATACTCATCGAGGTACGCACGATGTTCCTCTAACATAATAGGGAGTCCCTTTCGGTGCGCGGCCAAAGATTAAAAAAATATATACATGCCTGAGTTTGAAGAACTGATTTTTCCTTATGTAGCAGAAATGTTAGCATCTGGCCCAAATAGTAATATTTGCATCCAGTAGAAAAACACATAGTCTTCTATACAAAATAAAATTTCCTATAAAGGATTTGAGACACATTTTCAGGACATTTTTCGTAAGAACAACAAAATATTACATGGTTGGAGATGAAATAATTTTTTTTCTGGATGTATGATAAATTGATATTCATCATACAGGACGTGGAAAGGAATTCTGAATTGAGAGAACCCAATCACGAATCTGCGATTGAAGTCTATAAAAATTACAAGTTCCCATCGTTCAAGTTTCAACCCCTTGATTGGGTGAAAGTATTGAAAAGGAATATTCTCATATATAATTATGAACACAAAAAACTGATATATATTCAAAGAAATATATTGAGAATTCCGCATTCTCCATGTGTGAAAATATTAGTTCTTTCTCGGTTTATTCAACAAAAAACAACTACTTTCCTGGCTATTTGCCACGTCGAACATTGAATTATATCTGTTGAACATACAAAAAGAGAGCATGATTTTCATTTTTCATGCTCTCTTTTTGGATGTTCAACAGACGTGGCAAATAGGCAGGAAAGTGGTTGTTTTCTGTTGAATATTCAAAATGATATTATGTGCATATCTTTATATGACGAAGAATGCAAATTCTCTACTTCAGAAGATTTTGTTTTCAAATGCTTATCGATTATGTTCAATAGATGTAATTCAATGGTCGTCGTGGCATATAGCCAGGAAAGAACCTAGTTGTTTTCTGTTGAATAAACCGAGAAAGAATTGATATTTTCATCACATGGAGAATGCGAATTCTCAATGTATTTCTTTATATATATCATTTTTTTCATGTTTAAAACGTGTTATAAACGTCCTTTTGGTGAAGAGTATTTTGAACACGAACGCAGCGTAGCCCAGCTCGTTGGAACCCTGTAGGGTCACTTAATTTTCATCTCCCTTTCAATTCTACCGAGGGTGGCAAATCAACTGTACATATTTTCCATTTGAATATCCAACCATAGCCTCCAAAACGACACATTATATTCCACTTGTTTGATAGAACCTTCTTGGGCTACCATTTATATTTTTCAAAAATGATAATGAGTTTTTCCCCATTTTTAGTTGGTAAAGTTTCAGGTGCAACAACCCCAACAGCAGGCTACCCAAATTCAAATTGTTTCTGCCGATCGCATTAGGTACTCTTGTGAAGAATGTGGGCTTACCTTCATCACCCAAAACGAACTGAAGACGCACAAAATCCAATCACATCAGACTCAGACCCAGCAGCAACAGGTAATTTTAATATTTTTTTCTCACCATCTCATTCAGTCCAATCATATTGGGATTTTCCCAAGAAAAAAAATCCCCTGAAGGACAGACTTGGTATATGCATGGTTCTAGTGCTTAATAACAACATATCAAAAATCAACACTCAATGATATTGATGCTGATGATATGGATGAGTATACTTAGTTCTTGATAACATAAATATCTTCAAGTTTTGAAACTGAATCACGAGTTGTTGATGTTTTTTCCGTAAATACTCCAACGAAAAAATCACTCTTTCTACCACCCTGTAACTCGGTAACCATTACAAATATGATAAAAATTGTCTCTGAAATTGTTGATTCTTTATTCCTATACATCTACAACCTTTATATATGACATATTGCTCATATTGAGCATTGCTAGTATTGATTTTTGGTATATTATTGATCCGGATAATATCAAAGAATTGGTCAATCTCATAAACCTCTAAATGAGCCAAAAAAATTTTCAATACAGACAAGAATTATTTGAGCAACATGAAGGTACAGCCATGGGTAATTGTTTATCGCCTTTCTTGGCTGAACTGTTCATGAATCGGTTTGAAACGAATGCAAAAGAAAAATTCGAATATTTTCCTTGGGTTTGGATTAGATATGTCGACGATATTTTTGCCATTTTTGATACAACAATCACAGATATAGAAAACAATTTGAGAAGAATCCCAATTCCTTTCAATCCCAAATACACAAGAGGACTTGATAATGTTTTCAAAGACTTAGGTTTTGAAACCGTTCATCAGTCTGGGTCAAAGTTAGGCAATTTATTAGGTAATCCAAAAGATAAGATGGACACACGTGAGAAGTCAGGAATATATGAAATTAGTTGTAATGATTGTGATAAAACATATATAGGCCAAACCAGACGTCCCATAAAAACAAGGATCAAAGAACACTCAGCACATTTGATATATGGTAGGTTAGATACATCGTATGTAGCCGAACTCATGTTCAATCAAAATCATAACACACTTATTAATAACCTCAAATTAGTTGAGCAAGTTAATAATGTTAGAAAATTAGATGCATATGAAAGCTTAGAGATATTTAAGAATAGTAGTAGAGTAATGAATAAGTATAATGGACCTATCCCATTTAGTCGTCTGTATAGTTTATAACTAGTGAACTCAACCATCAATAACATTAACTTAGCGGTTATTGTCTGTTCACGGTTCGGTGGACATATACTTAGTATATAAGTAGCCCACTAGGATAGAGCACTTAGTTGTAATCTTCTCCTGAAGATGCTAACATAGTTAGCGAAACACATGTCGAGGTGTGAAAAATCGGTTTGATTAGTGGTAAAACACTGTGTAGTGTATCATCATGCCAAGGGTTCCAGTCTTCGATATATCGAGCACTCACACTAACTATGCCAAATCTTCCCCTTAGAACAATTTTTTCTAGGTAAGGGGCGAGGGGGATATCATATTTTTGCCTAATATGATTGGAGTAATTGTGTTATCAAGTCAATGAAAATGCTGAGCACTGTCAAGAATAATGTTCATCCATTGTCGTTCTGAATGAAAAACTACTAAGTGAGGTATAATTTTATCTGTTCACTGACCCAAAATCTGTCAGCCTGTCAATGGCGCTGTACTCACTGCAAAATGCCAGTAGTTCATTATTCGTTTAAATTAAATATTTGTCGATATCACTGACATAACTACTACCTAGACAGCTATATGTCATCCCACCAACCCACAAATCTCCTCCAAATTGTTCGCCTGAAAGAGCTTCTGCTCAAGGCACACGAACTTCCAAACTGTCATTCATGACATTGAAACATGTGTCTTGGTGTTTGAAAACAGAATAAGTAAGAGTCAGTTAGACATATGACAGGTCCTGAATGTGTTTGCTCTATTGAAACCAAGTTCGATCTCGCGGATGAATGATCTTTGTTCTTATGGCACTAGCGGTCTAGTTAGTAATTTATGTCGGTGCTCAAAATGGACAAAAGTGTCACCCATTTTCTACTGTGTATGATGAAGAGGATCAGAAATTGAGAAATATGTTTGTAATTCTGAGATAACAGTTCGATTTTGTTTACATCTATGACAAATTGATATTCATCATGATTTTGTTTACATCTATGACAAATTGATATTCATCATACAGGGCGTGAAAAGAAAATTCTGAATTGAGAAAACCCAATCACCAATCTGTGATTAGAGGTCTGTAAAATTAACAAAGTTCCATCATTCCAGTTTGAACCCCTTGATTGGGCATGGTAGTTTTGAAGAGGAATATTCTCAGATATACTATGAACATTAACAATTCGCATTATCTATCTGATGAAAATATTGATTCTTTCTCGGTACATTCAACAGAAAATCACTACTTTCCTGGCTATATGCCACGACGAACATTGAATTTCATCTATTGAACACAAACGATAAGAATTTGAAAATAAAATCTTCTGAAGTTGAGAATTTGCATTCTCCTTCAGATAAAGATATTGTATGTGTTCATTAGATGTAATTCATTAATCGTCGTGGCATATCGTCAGGAAAGTAGTTTTTTGTGTTGAATATACCGAGAAAGAATTCATATTTTTATCAGATAGATAATGCGACTTCTCCATGTAATTCTTCACATGTATCAATTTTTTTCATGTTCATAATAATCTGAGAATATTCCGTTTCAATAAAAGTTCGACATATTATAATTCGAAGATGAAAGTCAAAATTATATTCTTTATTTCAGAGATAGAAGTCAGAATTAATATAATTCGTAGATAATATTCCGAGTTATAATAATTCTGAATTTTTTCTCCGAATTATATAGAATATCATTTTGACTCATATATCCGATTCATAATAATTCTGACTCTGACCCACGAATTTTATACTCACCGGCATAAACCTGCCACCAAAAAATTAGCCAAGTTATTCACCCTATAACTTTTTTATTTCTTGTCCGATTTTGGTGAAATTCTGACCAAATCGTATATTCATGTATCAGAATGTTGGCCTGGATATTAGTTCCTAAGAGAAGCTGATTGCTTGGTCATTATACAAAGAAAAAAAGTCACTCTTTCAGCCTTAACTTTTTAACGCCCTGTGGCAAAGGTGAGTGGTTGAACTTAGCTTCATCATGTTTTCGATTGATGTGTGATCCTTTCTCAACACAGTGGTTGTTGATTCATGTCGATAACAACTTTTTAAGAGCAGATACAAGGGTTTTGGGAAAGTATGATTTTTAAGTTTTCATTAACAATAATTCAGAATCATTCTCCAACCTTCTGCTTCTTGAAGTGTGATCCTATTTCGTTCCTTCTCAACAGAATAGTTCTAGATTCACGTCAATACGTTATATTCGAGAGAATATAAAAGTGTTTTAAGATAGTAGGGATTTTTCAAATTTGTATTAACAATAATTCAGAACCTTCAGAGCATCTTAGGGATGAACTCCAGAGGCTCATTCATCTTCGTCCGGCCTTATCAGAGACTCTTCAAGAGCTATGATTCGTCCTTCAAGGAACATTTTAGGCAATTCTTCATGACTACCTACTTCAGAAATTTGATCTACTCGATGCCACGGCGGTTGAATCTTTTAATCCAAACTCGAGGAGGGTATACTCATTATTCACTATTGCCACAGGGCGTTAAGAAGTGAAGGGCAAAAGGGTAACTTTGGTTTTTCCCTGTATAATGATCAAGTCATCAGCTTTTCACGGAAACTAATATTCAGGCTAACATTCCGGAATGTGAATCTACGATTTGATTGAAATCTCACAAAAATCGAACAAGTATTTAGAAAATTACAGGTGAACAATTTGGACAAATTTCTTGGTGGTTATTTTTTTATTGGTGAATGTAGAATACTTCAGACTTTTATCCCAGAATTATAAAAATATTTCTTGTAGTGCCCGCTCTACGCTTTCCTACATCGGTGCAGTAATTGCTTGTACTAATATCAGTTTCATAAATTTCACTTTTGACCAATCAAGGTTCAAACCCAACCGCAGCAGCAGCAACAGCAGCAGCAACAACAACAGCAGCAGCAGCAACAGCAGCAGCAAAACACCCTAAAAATCAAGAATTGCGAATCCTGCGGGGCGCCCCTACCCCAAGACAACAACAAGAAGCGGGCCGTGATGAAGGTGAAGTGCGAGAACTGTCTGAGCGCCGAGGCGATCCAGCCGCAGATATTCGTCGTGGCAGCGGCGCCGGACACTTCTGTCAAGTTCGAAGAGAGCACTGGCACGCAGACGCAAGCTGTTGGTAAGCCATATACCTACTAAACATATACGCATTAGGGTCCCACGTATTTGTCATCTAACAGGGTACGGACAGATCATAGCTCCTTTCTCATTTAATCATCTAGTGACATTGGTTTTCTGTATTGGCGTCCCTGACATGAGACATAATGTCAATGAATGACTCATTACGGCCCTGCTTCTTCTCGCATCTCGCCTAACATTCTTTGTTTATGCCACAGGACAGTTTTGTGTCACTTGTCATTGGAGACATACTTCACGTATCCCATGTCAAGCTAACCCACCCACCCCACCCCCCCTTCACCGCTCTACCACGTCATGTAGTAGTAGTAGTAGTAGTTTATTGAAAAATAGGAAAGCCTAATATACAAACATCTCGAGCATCCATAAAACATTTAACATCACACATATATATGTATAAAATTCACAATAGCAATTCACACACACACACACAAGACACATATTTAAAAACCATTAACAATAATACTAAAAACAAAAAAGAAAATTTAACATAAAGTCAACAGATAACTAAACAATCAAGCTAATAATACAAAAAACGTAATACAGGTTGGGGACAATATCAAGTAAAGAAACAATTATTGAATATAGGATAATATGTTATAAACATTTCCATACAATACCCACCCGTCCAACATTCATAGAGTTTTAACATACTTCGATAATGATGATTTGAAAGAAGATAAAGATACTGATGATTTTATATGCATAGGTAGTTTGTTGAATTCATTTAACCCTTTGAAAAATAGAGATCTCATGCTCATACTGGAATTCGTTCTGTGAATATGAAAGTCAGTCCTCATTCGTGTGCCATAGTTATGAATTTCATCATTTCTTGTTATGAATTCATTGAAATAGGAAGGAAGTAGGCCTTTCTTCAATTTATAAATAAAGGTCATAGTCATGTAAAATAAACGAGTATTAACTGAAAACCATTGCAAAGTATCTAGCATCAGTTTAATTGGAGTATATCTATTACATTTCAGTATTAGTCACATTCCTCTATTTTGAAGCTTTTGTTGTTGGGAAATTCGATTTTGGTTAAATAAGTAAATTACTGTTGCACAATAGTCAAAGTCAGGTTTAATAATAGAATTGTAAATTGTTACTCTAGCAAACATGGACAGTGCTTTTGCAATTCTTGAAAAAAAGTACATTTTTAAAAAATTTTTCTTATGACATATTCTCCATGACTATTGAATGTTAGATTATTATCTATCATAAATCCCAGGTACTTGGAATTCTTCTACAATCTCCAAAGATGTATTTTCAATCACTATATCAATCGAATTCACAAGTATGTTATTATATTTATATTTGGTTGTAACAATCATTGACTTGGTTTTAGTAACATTTAATTTAAGTTTATTTGCCTCCAGATATCTTTCAATATTGGCTAATGTGTTGTTCATTTCTAATATAGCTTGGTCCAAACTGTGATTTGCACAATACACCAATGTATCATCGGCAAATGAGTTGATAAAGCAATTCCCTGCAATTTGCTGAATATCATTTATATACAGAATAAACAGAAGTGGCCCCAAGACGCTGCCTTGAGGTACTCCAATATTATTACTCAATGTATTGGAATAACTTGAGCCTATTTTTGTTTTTTGACTTCGATTTTCAAGATAACTTTCCATCCAATTATAAACAGAACCAGCAATTCCATAATACCTCAGTTTCTGTAATAAAATGTCCCTATCAATTGTTTCAAATGCACGTTTCAGATCAAGAAAAACTGCAATAACATATTTGTTTTCATCTAAATGTTTTTTCCAATTTGATAATGTATATTGAAGAGCTGTTTCACATGAATAACTTTTCCTGAATCCCAATTGGTGCTCACTAAGGATATTATTACTATTCAAATAGTTTATCAGCTGTGTATGAGCTGCCAATTCTATCACTTTTCCAAGAGTAGGAAGAGTATTTATGGGTCTGAATTTACTTGCATCTATGGTATTTGAAATTTTCGGTATTGGTATAATGGTACTAATTTTGAAACTATCTGGGAATTCTCCATATTCGAGAGAAGTGTTAATAAAATGTAATATAACATTTCCAAGGCATTCAAAGGTTTCTTTCAAGAATTTTGCATTGAGAATTTCTGATTTATTTTTGTTATGGTCCAAAGAGAATATAATTTCACGCAGTTCACTATAAGTTAATTTTTGAAAACAATTTGATGTGCTATTTATTTCTTTGAGATTTTCCAGTGACCATTGTTCCTCTGTTATTATATTATCAGTAATATCTTGGATACTATTCACGAAAAAAATATTGAAATTGTTAGCTATGTCTATTTCAGTCCTATATGTTCTGGTTGTACCATTCTCGCAAAATTCAATTTTGTTGAAATTATTAGGGGCATTAGGTTTGACAATCGATTTCAGAGTTTTCCACATTTGTTTCGAATTACCTTTCTTCAAGTCAATTTTCTGTTCATAGTATTCTGATTTTTTAGCTTTGAGCATATTTACATACTGATTTCGACTTGCCTTATATACTTGCCATTTTACTTCTTTTTGAGCATCATCATTACACTTTTTGAAATTTTTGTATGCCATATCCCTGTCTTTAGCTTTCATTCTCAAATCATGATCATAGTATGGTACATCATTAGATTTCAATGTTCTAGTATAACTTGGAGCTACTCTATTTACAATATCATATACTTTTGAATGAATATCTTCTGAAATAATATCTTTATCTTTATTATTATTCCCAAGAAACATACATGTTTATATTGACGTTATACAATCTAATGACCAATTACACGACAAGAGGTCCATATTGATGGACAACATATTTTCTTTGCACAAATTTCTAACTTCTTGAATTCTTTCAGGAGCATTTGGCTTTGTATTGAATACACTAATGGAAATTGTAGAATGATCAGAAATTTTAGGACTATCATTAACTTTGACAGTAATATTATCGCAATTTGTTATAACATAATCAATCAGCGTATTACTGAGATTTGTGATTCGGGTACAATCTTCAACCATCTGATCCACACCATACATGTTAAACAAGTGGCGAATTTTCTTCGTATAGAAATTATTAATATTTTTAAAATCAATATTCATATCACCTACCAACACAGTTTTTCTATTGTGAAAATAGATGTCTAATATCTCTTCAATTTTCTCTATGAATTCTGAATGACTTGCATTTGGTGAATGATAAACGCCGCCAATGGTCCATTTTTGGCTATCAATTGAAATTTCTATGATCTGAAACCAATAGTTGACATCAAGTGTTATACTTTTCATCACTTTGTATTCAATGCCCTGTTTAATGTATAGTAAGACTCCACCGGTATGTCTACTGCTGCTATCACATCTGACAAAATTATACTGCATTATAGTGAACTCAAAATCAGAAATATCCTCAGTTGTTCTAGATTCACTTAAAATTATGATTGTTGGGTTGTAGCAGACTATTTGGGTTGAAATTTCATGTTTGTTAGCAAGAACACTGAATGTTAACGTAAATGATGTCTTGATTGAAATTTATAAAAGAAGATTTTTGGATATTAGGCATTACTAGTTTTTTTCCTTTTGGACAATGGTTGGTACTCCATTTATATATTTTATTGTTTTCTCTAGGCCCCTTCTTCAATAAGTTTGCTGAAATTTCTTTTCACCTTCTGGTAGTAATCACGTTGACTTTTGGTCTGATCTCCAAAAATTATTACTCTGTCTGCATGTATTTTACTTTTATTTTTCAATACTTGCTTAGCCAATTCTTCTTTGGAAAATATTATCTTCAGAGGTCGATTTTTGCCAGTTGTGAATTTACCAATTCTATATACTTGCATATTTTCATCACTGATGTCGCAATTCTTCAAAATATTTTCAACTGTGAGCTTCTCATTCTCAATTCTTTCATTTCTGTCCTTCTTCACCGACTCCTGTATATTCAGCGCAATAACGTTTCTTGCCCGATTTCTTCTCTCTTCAAGTTCCGAGATAATACTTTCAAAGTTTGTAATTCCATCTTCGGTCTCTCCAATATTTAAATTTTGTTTTTCAACTTTCTCCTGTAACTGACTCACTTTATTTTCTAAGAGATCGACTTTGTTCATCAGAATAGGGAGCAATCTGAAGCCTTGTTCACATTTATCACAAAGAAATATTAAACGTCTCTTCTTCAATGGTATGCATCTCAATTCTGAGCTTGAGAGGCCAGAACATTTTTCACAAAAGTTCTGCTTACAGCCATCACAACATATGACATTTTCCTTAGAATCGCCACAAGACTCACAAATATTCATATTTTGATATTCAGATCCCTTCAGAATATTATTCCGTACCTGCACTGGTTAAGAACAGGAGAGATAAATTCAGTTGTTCTTATCTTGGGAGCAAAAACAGTTTGTGATACACTGATATCTTGGGAGCAAAAAATAGTTTCTGATAAATTGGTAATAATTGTCTTTATATATTCAGTTGTTTGTTTCAAAACTATCAACTTTACTCATATATGGAATGATTTTTGTATTTCAAAATTTGGTCAATCTTTACGAAGATCCATACACTTTCACTTCAACAATTTTTGAGAATTTCCATTTAGTATTTCCACTGAAAAAACGCAACTTTTGTCGAGCATCACAACACACGTGTCATGGTAACCTCGATTCTCATGATGGGCATCATTTTATCTTCGATTACTTGGATGAACAAGTGTTGGGATCCCCCATAAAGCCCCCTTTGGGCCATTGGCAATTTTTCCTTCATTATAGTAACAATGTAAATTGTACTATGTAATAATATTATTATCTTCTCCTTTTTTTACTTCCACGTGAGTATACATAACCTATGGTATGATATTTGTAACTATATAAAAAACTGTTCTTTGTAGAAATTGTCATTTAAAATATGCTTCTGCTGATGATGGACTATTGATAGTCCGAAACATGTTCAGACACTGATTATTCAGTTAATAAATTTGTGGAGATGACTTAGTGTGTCTTGTTTA